ACAGAGAATACTACATAGGAGGCTTACGCTGAAACAGATATTAAATAGTAGCTAAGCAGCACAGCATTTTTGCGCAATTTACGCACCCCCAACCGGGTCCTACTTAAAGCTCCCTTGGGGAAACAGAATCACTGAAATGAATTTGCAAACCAGCAGCATCAAAGCTCTCTGTTACATCAGGAGACAAGCTCTGGTTCTGTCTTCAAAGGGGAAATTGTTAATTTTTTGAAGTGTCCAGTTATTCCTAGGACTACATCTCAAGTATGTGGGGTGCTTACTGTCCCAAACTCCTCATGCCTACATCGGATGAAATTTCTGCAAAGATCCCCACAGGATTAATTCCACAGGATTCTCGAGTTTCTGAAACAGCCTGAGTCTTTCCACCGCGTTACATTTGCTGCCCTCTTGCGGGGAAATGGTGCTGCTTACAGCAAAAAATGAAGCAAACAAAAAAAAAAAGAACCAAAGGACAAATTGCCAGCGAAGAAATAAAAGTTAACTCTCGCTTCCTTTCAAAAGAAACTGACCTATGAACTGTCCCCTTCACCTTTTCTATAGCTTGAGGCTACAAAAACCCACATCGTCTCACACTCAACCATTACCTCAAGCTCAAACACACACACACACAAGCGGTATTTTGTGTTTTCTAATTCCTTAAAAATACCACTTCTGGACTCTTACAGAAGCTTATGAAAGCCATTTGCCTTAGAGAAAGACTCCCACCACTTATCCTATGAAAATTCGGTGGAGTCTCATTAGGTTTGGTTTTTTAATGCTTGAACTAAAATGAAAACTTCAAGCCATACCTAGCACCTCATCTTTCAAAACTGAGGATAAGTCCCACCTTCCTCCCCTTTATCTTGGCAAGCCCTTGTGAAGTCTCTCCTTGTTGATACCCAACCATCAACAAGCCACTCTCATCTAACTAGGGATTCCTGGGGCCACAGTTCCCTTAATTGGCCAGCACAAGCCACAAAGCCCTTGGGACGGTAACAAGAGGCCTTTTGGACACAGACACAGAGTCTTCTGCAGTTAACCCTCAGCAGCTTGCCCTGGAGCTGTGTTGGGTACCCCCACAGTGGAGTAAAACCTGCTCAGTTTCTCAGCATCTCAGTATAGACCGCCTCCCCCACCTTCCATTGATTCCGACCCTGAGTTTTCCATCAGCTGAGCTCTATACTAGGAAGAAAACCACATGGCCACTGCAAGGATCCTAGACTTCCTTCCCCTGAAGGTCATGAGTGAACATTTATAGCAGTCCTCAACCCTCTCCCCATCTCTCTCTCTCTCTCACACACACACACACCCCACCCCCAAGCATCACTAGAATGGGAGGGACGCAGGAAAGTGGGATGGAATGAAGAAAGGGATGGTCAAAGCCCTCCAACATCCTCAATCTGAAAAAACCTTTTGCCCATCATCGAGTAAACAATCAATAGAGCCAACAGAAAAGTGGATTAAAACATGCAACAGCTTAGGGGCGCCTGGGTGGCTCAGTGGGTTAAAGCCTGTGCCTTCGGCTCAGGTCATCAACTCAGAGTTCTGGGATCAAGCCCTGCATCAGGCTCCCTGCTCAGCGGGGAACCTGCTTCCCCCTCTCTCTCTGCCTGCCTCTCTGTGTACTTGTGATCTGTCAAATAAATAAATATAATCTTCAAAAAAAAAAATGGGGTTATGGACATTGGGGAGGGTATGTGCTATGGTGAGTGCTGTGAAGTGTGTAAACCTGGCGATTCACAGACCTGTACCCCTGGGGCTAATAATACGTTATATGTTTATTAAAAAATAAAAAGAAGAAAAAAAGAAGATATGGTCCATAAAAAAAAATAAAAATACCAAAATAAAATCTTTTAAAGAAAAAGGAAAAAAATGCAATAGCTTAAACAAAAACGAAACAAAACAGCCCACCAGCACATTAAGAGCGTCATCAGTCAGAAAGAGATACAATGCCATAGAACGGACACGTTTTCATTACTAGATGGGCACACAAAACTTGCGAGCACCCGGAGTCGAAAAAGGGACCGGGAAATGGGCGTTATCGCACTGTGACCGTGGGTGGAAGTATAAGTAAGTCCCGAAGTCTGGAAGGTCGCTCTGGTACGATTAAACCACGAACGCGCTGCAAAGGAAGCTGCCCGAGAGGCACCAGAACGCCGGTACTCCTCGTCCCCCTGGGTCCCCGGCTGGAACGTTCTCCCGTTGCCCCGCCCCGAAATACGCTTACGGGCTTGGGCTCCAGCCAATGGCCGCGCAGCGCACGAGACCCCGCCCACACTTGCGCGGGCTCCTTACACCTGCCAGCTGAACCCTCCAGCGCATTTCCCCTTGCAGCCTGCTGGAATGACGGCCCGTCTAGGACAACCTTGGCAGCCACAGGTTGAAAATGTTAGCACTTCCAACCACCACGGGTTCCAGAAAGACTGCAATACAGGAGGATCCTCCAGAGGATATATTTGCCCCCGACCGCAAAGACTCAGGAACAAGAAACAGACCTCGATTTGCTGAGCCATTTTTGTATTCGGTCTGTTGGTTACAGCAGTCGGGCTACTCTCGCTAATACATGTGCATGCACTTTAACTCAAGATCTCGCTACTAGGAATTCACATGAAGTCGGAACATATATATTTGTATAAATACGGTAACAAGTCAAGTGTCCACAAAAATGGGGAGGAATCAAATCATGTATGGCATGTCCTTACCATAGAGGACTATGTATGCGGTGTTACACAGAGTGATAGATCTGTAAGCACGCAAATGAAAAGATTTATAAACTCTATCGTTAAATGGGGAAAAAAAAAAAAAAAACAGGGGCATACAGATAGGTAAGTGCATACACACATACTAGGGAAGCATTCTTTTTTCCTGTAAGGACAGTTGTGATGATTAACTTTATGTGTCAGCTTGACTGGGCCACGGGATGCCCAGATATCTGATTGAACATTATTTCTAGGTGTGTCTGTATGGCACAAAAAAGTGGGAGAAAGCTGACTTGGTTCTTTGCCAGACTGTTGAGCTGGGACATCAGTCTTCTGGTGCCTTCACTGTTCCTGGTGCTCAGCCCTTCAGACCTGGACTAGAATACACCCGGGCTCTCTGGTTATCAGACCTTCAAACCACATCACTGACTTTCCCGGGTCTCCAGCTCGCAGACCGCAGATCATGAGACTTCTCAGCCGACAGCTGTGTGAGCCAATACTTCGTAATAAATCTTTTTATATCACGTATATCATACACATGCTCTCGTGTGCACGCAGTAAGAAAATGAGAACACCAAGCCCCCTGCAGGGAGGAACCAGTCCTGTCTCCTTTGATGGTTGTTCAGACAAGGGGTGAGAAAGATTTAAATCCCAAAGATGAAAGCAGGAGGAATCCCCTAAAAGCCAAAGGACATGTGCTGGGAATCCAAATAAAACCAGCTAGGAATTCTAGGGCTGAAAATTTCATTCCTTGAGCATGATTTGCCAAGGCTTTGCTCTGACTTCTCACTGTCCTGAGGGCTGTTGAGTCTTGGCTTATAGAGAAGATATTGTCCGTATTTCTCATGCACATAATTCTAATCTTAATTTAGATTTATACCTATGCTTGTGCCTTTTCTAAATTCAAAGAAATGAGGATTGCCGCATGGATAAAAATTGAAGGTTCAGTCCTGTCCTCTGTCTCCTTCAACTTCTAATCCCATTTCAACACAATCTCTCAAGCCGAGTTCCTGGAAGTCTGGAAATCTGCTCTGATAACTTGCCCCACTGAAATGTTCTGCCTGATTGCTACCCAGACTCTCAGCCTCCACCCAAGAAGAGAGATAGGAATTAAACAGATAAGACTAATGACTTCAAACACTCTATCCTTCAGAACAAGCTCATCAAAAGATACACAGTGCAATGACCAACTAGCTGTAGGCACTTCACAGCAGCCAAATGGTATTGATTTTATGCTGATTCATTAAAATTTCAATTATTTTTCTCGTCTTCTCTGAATTTTCACTGGAGGCGGGAAAAAATGAACCGTGAGAGATTTTTTAAAATCATGGTAAGCCTAATATCCTGTCTTAGCCTTAAAATATCAGAATAACTGAGTGGAAAGCACGGCCTGGTATATGTCTGAGGGTAAGGATATCTGACAAACTTGATACATTAGACCCGAGGGAGGCAGAATTTACCTTTCTATCTGGTTGAGAGTCTGAGACTCACTTTTTCACTAAGCGGTCCGAGAAAGCCTGACATTGCCACCCTTCAAATTACTAACACAATGACAGCAAATTAATTATTTGGCGATGAGTCTACAAACAAATACAAATGGCTCAGGAAAACACATTGCACTGGGGAGTTTCCAAGTCTGTATCACTTTAAATGTAGATGTAACAAGGAGAGGGGGGAGGGGCACATACACATGCACCTGCACAAACAGAGACTCAAGTGATTATTTTCAACTTTTTTAGAAATAAGCAAAGTATAGACAAGGGTCTCATGAGAAATTACGGGAATGATTCTCTAAAACCTTAGACACATTTTATTTTAGGTCCCATGCAAAAGCTACCATTGCTTTTTTTCTTTTCTTTCTTCTTTGTTTTTTTTAAATCATTCACCATCTTTTCTCCACCAAGTGGTCTTAGATTATCTAACAGCTTCACTCTAGCCCTGGAAGTGTTTAAGTTTACCAGTAAAGACGTCCTGCCTTCAGAGGAACCGACAGGAGTAATACATACGCAAGGGAGGCTGGATTTCCAGGATTCTTGGAGAAAAATCACTCTAAGAATGGAAATGTATTCAGGAAAGGAAAAGGAGGGGAAAACACCTGGAAACCATCCTTTAAAAATGTCTAGAACACTCTTTCAGCACCAAACCATTGAACAGCATCGCCCTGATGTATCTCAGGTTCACTCAGATTATTTACACACCATCAGAAGCTCTTGTCAATTACCTGTGTCTAAAATGTGGACTCTGACGTTTGAAAGGGTTTTATTAATTGATCTCAGTGGTGCATAATGAGCTTAAAGGGCTTACCTGTGTGTCCCCGGAGGTGCTGGCTCGAGGCGGACATCAGCTTGCAGCACACCATTAACACATAGGCCAGAAAGAGCCAGTGTGACAGCAACACTGACTTAGCACAGACTCTCATCCTGGAGAGAAAGCAAGATGCGAGTCAGTGAGGGCTCAGGGAGGTGAGGCTCTGGGGCAAACACGCAAGCAGGACCTGGGGGAAACTGGAAGAAAACAGCAAGTGAGAGGCGCTCAGCGCCGGACTTCTTTTTCCCCAAGGACACTGAAGGCAAATCAAACCTGATTCCCACTGTGCGTTAACTCAATTTCCAATGAACGCTTTTTATAATTACGAGTTTTCCAAGTTAGCAACATGCTTCAGTGAGAAGTCTATTTACGAAGCCCCACTGTGTAGCCTGACTTTTCCTCATGGAACGTGGGGGTAACATACTATTTTATATCATGAAATCAGAAAGCTACACACGAAGAGCTGGATTCAGATAAAATAGACCTGGTTTCTGCATCTCAGAGAAACCACAGAAATGGTCACACTCAGCCCGAGACTTTTCTCCTGGTTTCTCTGAGTGTATATTAATAAATGATTTTCAGTATCAAAGTTTGGTGGGAATATGGCCAAGTATAGGCGAATGTAAAATAAACTTAATTTCTTATGGATGTCGACAGATGAACACATAAAGATGTGGTATGTATACACAACGGAATACTATTCAGCCATGAGAAAAAAAGGAAATCCTGTTGTTTGCAACAATTCAGATGGACGTTGAGGGCATTACACTACGGGAAATAAGATGGAGAAAGACAAATACTGTTGGATCCCACTTATATGGGAAATCTGAAAAAAGACACACTCAGAGAAACCGAGTAGAGCGATAGTTAGCAAAGGTTGGGAGGTGAGAAAAATGGGGAGATATTGATCAAAAGGTACAAATTTTCAGTTACAAGTTTAACCAGTTTGGGGCGCTAATGTACAGCACGGTGATTATAGCTAATAACTCTTTATCATATACTTGAATGTTGCTAAGAGTCGATCTTAAATGTTCTCACCACAAAAAAGAAATGGTAATTATGGACAGGATGGAGGTGGTAGATAATACTATGATCATCATTTTGCAATTTATATATGTATCAAATCAGCACATTGTATGCCTGAAACATACACAATGTTATGTGTCAATTACATCTCTATACAGCGAAAATAAATAAACTTCACTTCATGCAGATGGACAGTACTGAAACAGTTGCTTAGACAACTGAATTGTCTAATTCGGTTCACAAATGTGTATGTATGTATAGTCTACTATTCTCAAACAAACCCAAAAGAAATGAAATAAAAGGAAAATATCAAAAAAGCATTTTCAGGGTGCCTGGGTGTGGCTCAGTCAGTTAAGCATCAAACTCTTGACTTCAGCTCAGGTCATGAACTCAGAGTCGTGAGATCGTGCCCCAAGGGCTCTGTGCTCAGTGAAGAGTCTGTTTTGAGATACTCTCTCTCCCTCTGCCCGTCTCTCTCTCTCTCTCTCTCTCTCTAATAAATAAATAAAATCTTTTTAAAAAATGCATTCTCCCCTCAATTTTCTTCTTATTGTAATTGAAGGATAGTTGACATCTCCACTAATTTCCTCCTGCTTTTGACATTTTAGGGAAATTATAACTAGATTAACTTTTGTTTGCTATTTTTTTTTAATTAACTTTTTCAAACAAAGTGGGACAGAGAGTTTGGCATCTGAAACTCCAGTGACATTAGGTTCTGCCTGGCACAGGTATCATGATGTCTATGATGTCATTCACCGCATCGGGTCAAGGGAACCCCGTATATTTATATTTATACTTATTATTTATATACGCACACACATATGCATACATATAATGCCATGTATAAACACTGGTTGGAGTCCAGTTTGCCCCACTAGAGGCAGAGTTCCTGAAGTTCTGGAAGAAAGGGTCTCAGAGACCAAGAGCATCTCGACCAGAACCCTAAGACTGTGCTTGAGAGAAAGCACAGCCTTGGGGACCTAGCACCCAAATCATACTCCAAAGAACAGGTTCTACCCCCACCCTTCTCTCTTGGCCTCTCGCAATGTTGTCAAATAGATCTTGTTGAAAGGTATCATTCCGTTCGTTGATGTGAGACTCAGTCTGCCTTTGAAGCAGCCAGGTCAAGACAAGGTTCTAAGATCATATTTGAGCAACTCCGCCTTCAAGGAGACACGAAGTCTTGGCTTCTCTTTGCCCTTGGCTTTGGAAATCCTGAGCATTCCAAACTGACATGGGAACATCAGGTCTCTCTGCTTGAAAGGCCCTGCATGTGCTTTAATTTCTCAAAGCACCACCCTCTGTCTCCCCAACTTCACCTTGCACACGCGAGAGATAGACACCCCAGGAGCAGTTCCAAAAGTGGCAAAGAAAATAGGTGGGTCTACGTGAGCTTCGGTACGAGCACAGCTGCCCCTTGAACATCACGTTTGAACTGTGTGGGTCCACTTACACATGGAGTTTCTGCTATACATTGTGGTATTATAAATGTATTTTCATTCTTAGGATTTTTTTTTAAAGACTTATTTATTTGAGGCAATGGGGCAGAGGGAGAGAGAGACCCAATGCTGAGCATGGAGCCGGACTCAGGGCTCAATCCCACAACCCTGCGATCAGGACCCGAGCCAAAACCAAGAGTCAGACACTTAATCAACTGTGCTACCCAGGCATCTCTCTTAGGACTTTTTAAAATGGCATTTTCTTTTCTCTAGCTTACTTTATTGCAAGAATACAGTAGGTAACACATATAATATATAAAATACATGTTAAGTGACGGTTCATGTTATTGGTAAGACTTTCAGTCAACAGTAGGCTCTGAGTGACTAAGTTTTTGGGAAGTCAACTTCCCCAACCCTCGTGTTGTTCGAGGATCAGCTGTCTTTAATTATATTGTCATTTCAGGGAACTGATTATTAATTTATTACTAATTAGGGAAAGCATGTAGTTTCTGCATTCGCTGACTTTGTGAATGAAGCGCTCTGTCCCACCCATAATGTCTTTAAAATTCCAGTTGTTAACTCCAATATTAGTTACTGATCAATGGTCACAAAGTCTCTTCCCAAAAGGTCAAAAATTCAAATGCCCACAAGTGAATGAGTAAGCTGGCAGGACCTATGGCCTTGGTGAATGGCAGGGACTGTGGAGGCCCGCCCTGGAGACCCACCTGGGGGCAGCTGTCACCACCCCAGCCTGTCACCGTAGTGCAGAAATGTGAGCCCAGGGACCCCAGGACTAACTTCTCAAGAGAAATTGGACTCTGGTATACGATCTTCCCAGTTTATATGTTGGCAACTAATTCCGTTTGTTTTATTTTTAAAACAGAGCGCAAAACAGACCAAGTAACACACATTTTCAGGCTGCATAAGGCATCTTGGCTTCCAGTTTGCAGCAAACTTTGTGGCCCCCAAACAAAGCATTTGAAGGAATCAGATAAAGGGGGTATTCATTTCTCTTCCGACGTAACAAATAAACTGCCCAACTCAGCAGTTGAAACGATATGGACATGGTTTCCACAGTTTCTAATAGTTTCCTTAATTCAGAAGTCTGGCACATAATAGCCAAGTCCTCTGCTCAGGGACACCCAGGACTGGAATCAAAATGTCATCTGGGCATGTCCTCATCTGGAGGCTCAACTGGGGAAAGAATGGCTCCTAACCACCAGCACACTACTGGCAAAATCCATTTCCATAGGCCCCTATAAGCGAGATCCTATGTTCTTGCTATGAGCCAGGACCTGCTCTCAGCTCTGAGCGGTGGCATCCTGAACTTGACCACATACGTGGACCCTCCTCAGGCTGCTTCAGTCTGAATCTCTTCTTCCAGGAAAGGTGGAAGAAGAGATTCAGAGCTAGAGCTAGAGCTAGAGCTCACCTGGTCAGGTCAATCCTATCCAGGATAATTTCCCTTTTCATTAATTCAACATCAATATATTTGAGACTTTAATTACATTGACAAAAATCCCTTCACCTTGGTCATATAACCATAACCTAACCACAGGAGGGAACCCCCATCATATTCACAAACATGTCCACACTCAAGGAGAGGAAATAACCCAGGTCGTACACACAAAAGGGTACACGTCTTAGGGGGCCATCTTAGAACTCTGTCTACCAAAAATGGGCAGACAACCCAATCACAAAATTTTATCCATACACGTGGTTTACAAACATCCAACTAGGTATTCAATCTAATTAGTTTAAGTGATTAATCACACAAGTTAACCTCAAGATTTATATCACTGAAAATGGGCTCTGAGGAAAACATTACCCAAAGGGAATGTGCTCTCCTTCACTGTCCTTTTCTTCAGCTGTCACTCCTCAGTGCTGCTGGATTGACCTGAGGACAAGCAACCCCTTGCCCAGTCCATGTATCCACCATCCATTTTCTGAGATGTGAGCAATGTTGCTGAGAACTGCAAGTACGCATTGCTCTCTCTCCCCATGCTAATAAACCCATCAGACACAAGCTGGTTCTGAATCCCATCTTCTTGTTCTTAATCCAATTTCCAGATGCCCAGATCCCTATTGTCTTCTTAAATCTTAACCCTCCACTGAGTATCATTAAATACTTTTCTTCTGCTTCATGGGTTGGCTCTCCTGCCTCTAACCATAAAGTCCCACACAATTTAGTCTCCAAATTCAGACTAAGTCTTTCAGATGGTCTCTAACCTCTCCTATCTAACATACCAGAGAAATTTTGTTTCCCTATTAGTCCCTATATCATCTAAACCTGTCTGGAAGGGTTTTACCAAATTGGGGAGTAGATTTGAGATGATCTGAGTCCCAAGGTTGGGAATTGGTGAGCAGGAGGCTTATCCAGGGACAGTCCAGAGATATCACCTGTGGAAGGGGAAAGCAGGGAGGGAAGAAGGCAGGACAGAAGGAGAAAAAGGCCCCCAATAATCCAGTGGAGAGTTCCAAAGCTGAAATGTCCCTTCTCAGAGATTCCAAGCTGGGGGCCAAGGCTTTATCCTTTCATGTTGACCCATCATTGGATATGAGCTGCCCCTAAAAAGATGGTTAATTTTACGCAAGGGGGTTCTTTGAATTGAGAATAATTCAAGAAACTCTAGGTCATCTTCTGCAGTTGGCTGTGTCCTCATTCCTAAAGGGGGGAATAATCCTTTCATTCCAGAAGGGGACTCTGGGCCATGAGGGAATGAATCCTTCTGCATCACAGCATCCATCACCATCCATCTTCAAACAGAAGACGCCATGTGCAATGTGTGTAATGTGTGTAATTTACTTTTAATTTACTTTGTCCTCAGATCCATTATTTTCCCTTCGCCTAGGTCACTACCATCAGCTGCGTTTTCCAGGCCCCTGAATCAGCTGGATTTAACCAACAGGGGATAGTAGCTAGAGCCTGGAGGGTGGAAGAAAAAGGATGGGGTATTTCTCCCCACCTTCTCCAATTTGAGCAAGATGTATGGAGTGGTCATGTCTCCTCCAAAGTGCCGGTTCCTGCCAGGAGACCGACTCTGGTGCTAGCTCCCACTGAAGGTCCCCTCCCCTAGGTGCTGGCAAACACTACTTCCTTCGTCTGACCCCGGGGGACAGTGTAGCTTCCTACTGCTCCCTATCTCAGGGCTGCCTCCGTATCTTCTGTTTGACTTCTCTGACTCTCCCTTTATTTAGGTTCCCTGAATTCAATTCCTTCTGTCCCACATTATCAGAATGGTCTGTTTTCCTGGTTGGATCCCAACAGAAAACCCCAAACCCAAAGTCTTAAGGGCAGCCATTCCAACCTGTGGGGATGATCCCTGATCCATCTGCGTACACAGACAATTCCATGTACCAGGTTCCCGCGTGAGCTTGCAGTGCCTTGAGCGGGTGTTCCCTTCACAAGAGCTATCACTGCCGGCAGAAATGCCAGGGGGCAAGTGGACAGAATTCAGCCATCGTTCTTTATTGTAGTCAACAATCCAGACACCCAGTCAAGGACTTCTGACCTACCACAACTAACATCATTCTTCCACTTCGATTTCTTCCCCCTTGAACATTTTGTTCAAACGTAAAACAAAATTGGTGTCTCTTTGGATTTTACCTTTCACCCTGCTAAACAGCCAAAATGCTGCTTTGCAAATGGAAATGGTTTCCAAAATAAGAGAAACTAAAACTTGAGAAACTTGATTCCCAAAATACTCCAAGATTCAATGGAAAAAGACAACTTTTATTAAGGATCGTCAACTCTAGGATTCTCCGTTTTGCTAAATTCTCAATGCCTCATAAAAGAAACCATCTCTAGGTGTCTGTTAAAATCATTTTACCTTGGTGACTTCATAAGATTTGGTTCCAGTCAAGCACAATTATTTCAAGATGGATTTCAGAGCAACTCCAAACTCCCATTTGTAGCGAGGGCCAACAATTTCTGCAGTTCCAAAAAATTATCTTAGCTTGGAAAGACCTATATAAGAAACAACAAGGACAGGAAATCATTAGCCTGTTAATGTTGAAATGCTACAGATTTCCAAGAGCAAAATAATGGTTTTTTGGATTTTGGGTTTTGGGTTTTTTTGCCATGAAACCTGCAGCTTGAAGACAGTAGGAGGGAACCAGATGCAGCCACACTTGTAAAGGGTCTTAATAAAGGAGGGGGGAAAGACACAAAATCCAGCACTCAGTAACCGTCACGGATTAGGTAACAGAATACAGTTTTAAAGTAGAAGTTATCTCAGCGGCAAAGGCATTCCAAACTTGACAGAGGATCCCCAACCTTCATGATGCATAATTTCATTCACCCCATGTCATTAACAAGGGGATGAGAACAGAAATGGAGATGGTCCCTTCCCAAGAGTTCTGCCACTTGCCCAAGCTACACAGCGCTGGAAAAACCAGCATGAAGATCTGAATTCTTAGCTTTGTGGGACATAAACCTGCAGACGTTGCTAACCAATCAGTGAGGCTCCTTTCTGAAAAATGTTAACCGGAGGAAGAGAGGAAACGTCTTTCCAACAGAAAATATCCCACCAACATACAAAGAATGCTTGTGAATACCATAGTTGACATTCAACACACTCCTTTAATGCACAGACCTGAAAGGACTTTTCTTCTAGCAAAAACATCTTTGCAAGAAGGATTTAGATGCTTCCAAACCAAAGACATCTCAAGAAAAAAAAAAAAAATGGACCATGAAACACACTATTTTTAACTCTGCTAAGTTTAAAACATCCCTCCAGTGGTGGAGATTGGGCGAAAACAATGATGTGCATCGATAAAGTTGCAAATATGAGATAAAAATGATCTTGCAACACGGTCTAGTTACTTTAGAATCCCGTTGAACCCATCACAAACCTACCACAAAGCACATCTGAGATTTTTCTCTTCTTTAGATATCTTCCCCTGAAGGTAACTACACAAGCCTGCCCAGAGAACACTGTAGGTAATGGGCTTGCAGACCCGTCCCTTTGGGGCCAGAGGAAAAAGAGTCAGCCTTGAGCGAGTAGCTCAGGAAGGGAGTGGCTTTGAGTAAATGTACAAGTACAAGGTATTCGGGGGGAAAGAATAAAACATTGGCAAATGTTCATCTCCCACTTCTCCAACTTTATTAAGTATGTTTGTCCACCCAAGGGCACAATGTGACCTTCTCTTATCGGAAAGAAATACATGGTATAATTTATCAGAATCCATCATAATGAACTTCCCACATATTGGAAATCAAAATGACCTTTCCTGGCTAATATTTATCTTGTTTTCTTCACACAAAAGGAACCACTGGGGATTCTTTTTTCAATTCATTAAAAAATGGATCCATCAGTGAAAAGAAATGTGATCTAATAGTTCCTACGCCAGACGAGGAGCCAGGAGTTTAATTTTAGGCTGAGCAGTAACTCATTCGGTCAGATTTTCCCAGGGCATACCCCAGGCACTAGCTTAAAAGGATTAACTCTTTCTTGTCACTTCTTGAACTTGAGTGCATTCAAGGCCATGGAAAATTCTGTGCAGAGCAGCAAAAGCATTTGCTTCCAGCCATTTCATTTCTCTCTCTTTTGTTTTCCAGCCATAGCACAGTGATTCCCAACCATGTGCTTCCGTACTCATTTGTTTTTTTTTTAAAGTCTCAGGTTATTCAGGATGAAAGGCACTGCCCATATCTAGACTTAAGGAAAAAATGTTGTCTGGGGCACCTGGGCAGCTCAGTCGGTTAAACATCTGACTCTTGATTTTGGCTCAGGTCGTCGTGATCTCGGGGTTGTGAGATCAAGCCCCACATGGGATCCATACTGGGCATGAAGCCTGCTTAAGAGTCTCTCTCTCCCTCTCCTTCTGCTCCTCCCACCACCACCAACCCGGACTCATGCTCTCTCTCTCCCTCTCCTTCTGCCCCTCCCACCACCACCATCCGGGACTCATGCGCTCTCTCTCTCTCTCCCAAAAAAAAAAAAAAATATATATATATATATATATATATATATATATATATATATATATAAATGTTTTCACGTGCACAGTCATTCTCAGAATGAACTTCACTCCACATTTAGATGCCAGGCTACATTTTTCATCTTTCCCCTGGTGTGTTGGTCCTGTACAGAGACAATCACTCTTTTCCAACAGAAGAGCAGAATGCCTATTTATGTTTCTTGGTCCAAGACACTTTGAGGTTCCCAGCCAGAGGAGACCATTCTTGTGATGTTTAATTTATTTCCATTGTACACAAGAAAGAATTCTGCCTACACTTGATTTTTTTTTTTTAATCAAGGAAATAGTGAGGTTTTACCTCTCTTTTCTCTTGATCTATTTGCCCTCACCATTAGTGGGCTGAATCCCCTAAGGGCATTATTCTTTCGGAATACAGTCATTTACTTGTTGTAGATAAGTACTCACAGAATATCTCTGTTGATTTTCCTATACCCACCTCACTGCGCACGTGTCAATCAATATAGCATCAAACCCCTCTTCGTCTATTTTGTGTAAAAATTTACAGTGATGAAATATCACAGTTCCCTCTAGAATTGGAAGACACAACGACCTTAAAGCTAGCTCTAATCAGGATGAAAAATCAGACTAACTCAAATTTGAGGGACATTCTAAAATGTAATTGCTTTTGAAAGTGTCAAGGTCGTGAAAGAACCCCCCCAAAAAAAAAAAAAAAAACTAAGGATGGTTTCAAATAAAGGAGAGACACATGGAAAAGAAATGCAAGTGTGACCATATGCTGGATCTTGGGACCAGAAAAAAAATACAATACGCAGAGCTTTCCTCAGAATAAACTGCATACAAACACATATACATTCCCACAAACATACACACATATACACATATACACATACACACACACACAGCTCTAAAGGACAGTTTTGGGACAATTAATAATTTCTAAATATAGTTTTCAGATTAAATTACAGGGTTGTATCAACATTAAGTTTCCTGCCTTTGATCATATTGTAGATAAGAAAAAGAATGTCCTTATTACTAAAAAAATACACCCTAAAATATTTAAGGATAAAGAAACAAATGTCTCCACCTTATTTTCAAATGATTCTGAGGGTAAAAAAAAATAGAGGGGGCACTTGGGTGGCTCAGTGGGTTAAGCCTCTGCCTTCTGCTCGGGTCATGATCCCAGGGTCCTGGGATCGAGCCCCGCATCAGGCTCTCTGCTCAGCGGGGAGCCTGCTTCCTCCTCTTTCTGCCTGCCTCTCTGCCTGCTTGTGATCTCTGTCAAAGAAATAAATAAAATCTTAAAAAAAAAAAAAAATAGAAAGGAGGAAAGGAAGGGAAGAAGAGAAATGTGAATGAATGAGTTCAAAACCAAATGAGCATGACGTGAGTAACTGCAGCCATAGGGGTAAAGGGCTTGTGGGAGCTCTTCTTTCTATTCTTTCAACGTTTCACAAAGTCAGAAATTATCCAAATAAGACATTACATAACTAATTAACAGCCTTCAATTCATGAGATAGACAAATATGATTTAGCATGTATTACCAGTCCTAAACCATGAGGAGAGCTGATAGTTGGAATGTTCTGGTTAATTCAAATCTGTGAGCATTCGCACAAACTTGTTTTTTTGTTTGTTTGTTTTTTGGAGGCTTGGGGTTTTTTTTTTAATATTTTATTTATTTGAAAGAGAAAGAGTGAGAGAGAGCATGAGCTGGGGGTGGGGAAAGGGTAGAGAGAAGGGGAAAAGCAGGCTCCCTGCTGAGCAAGGAACAGGGACCCCCTCCCAATGCAGGACTCAATCCCAAGACCCCAAGGTCATGACCTGAGCCGAAGGCAGATGCCTAACCAACTAAGCCACCCAGGCACCCCTCCTTATTTGTATTTATTTTAAAAGCACTCACGGAGTGCCTGGGTGGCTAAGTCAGTTAAGCAACTGCCTTCAGCTCAGGTCATGATCCCAGGGTCCTGGAATCGAGTCCCCCATCGGGCTCCCTGCTCAGCAGAGAGCCTGCTTCTCCCTCTCCCTCTGCCTGCCTCTCTGCCTACTTGTGATCTCTCTATTTATAGCTCTTTGTCAAGTAAATAAATTAAAATCTTAAAAAAAAAAAAAACTGTCATTGGAAGCCACTGAGTTTCCGTGATTGAAAAAATAAATAAATAAATAAAAATAAAAAGCACTCACATAGTGCCAGGCCCTGTGTCAAGCACTTTAAAATATTAATTCACTGAACAGTAGGATTTACATATATCCTGACATACAGATGAGGGCTGTAAGGCATAGAGAGAAGAAGGGATTGCCCAAGGTCACTCAGCCAGCAAGCAGCTATGCCAGGATTCAAATCCAAGCCATCTGACACCAAGGCACCTACTGTTTCAGTTCCTGTAAAATCATTTCCAAAAAGAATTAGTCCCTCTTCATGCTTTAGTAAATAGACTGAAAATAAATCTATCTTTCTTTGGGAATTCAAGACACTGATCAGCATCCTAAAGTTGAGAATTCTGTTTGTGGAAAGACGCATCCAGGCAGTTGGGACTGAATTTACAAGCGGATCAGAGCTTGGAGCCAAGGCAGTTTTCTATTAACCCCTCAATAAGTTTTGCTTCATCTCTGAAAAGCTGGTGAAAACTAGTGATTCAGAGTTGTTGTGAGGTTCTGATTTGCTGCAGATTTATTAAAGGCTTATGTCATTTTCCAAATTAAGACCAAACATGCAAGAATTCTAAAGTCCTTGAGTGCTTAAACTACCATTTCTCAAACAGATGGGAAACAACCACACTTCAGATCAGAACGCCTCTAAAACATTTCAGAGAAAATCTACCAAAGCCAGAACACAACACACGGGGGCTAAATTACTTTTGTTGATTTCAATGAAGGAATTCAGCATTGAAACTAAACAAAACAAAAGTGGATCTTTGTCCATGCATCCACTCAAACTCATTTCCTGACAAACAATAGGAAAACATTTCTGAAACAATAAAATACAGAATATTCTCTCGTAATCACAAAGCAAAAGGTCCCCAAGCTAC